CTGCCACTTCTCCTCACCCCGCACTCTGCAGGACGCACTGCTCCCACACTAAAGTGTTCCCAGGGGTCGAGACCAGAGCACTTAGGGAGTCCCGCCTGGGATTCCACGCCATTCTGCGCTCTGGCTCGGTCACTCTGTCTGAGTTGCCCCTTCCAGGGGCAGGACCAGGTCTAGGGTTCCAGGAGGACATCTGGCCATTCAACTGACAAGGCAGTCCCGTGAGCAGCAGGCTGCAATGAATGACAAACCTTCCCAATGCCTCCAGCCCCCAGCCCTCCTGAGCCCCCATCCTCCCTGAATGGGCAGGCGGTGGGGCATGGTGACCCATGGCCCAGAACAAAGAGATGCCCGGGACTCACCCCATCTCCGAGCTGCAGCAGGGAAACAGCATATGCCTGTCCCTGGAAGTGGGCACACACCCTCTCCAGCTTGGGACTGTCCGGTGAGCATCTCTCTGGTCAGGATATTTCAGCTCCCTCCTCCCTCTGCCCTCCTCCTCCCAATGAGCTCATCCGTCTGGGGCTCCCTAACTCCCTTTGGCTGAAAGGATGTTTGGACAGAACCTGGCAGAAAACAGAAAGAGAGGAAGGGAGACAGAGGAGGTGGCTGCCTACTTGCCTGTGTCCAGAGCCTTTAGAAAGTGGAGATAAATGAGAAGTGATGGACTCCCCCTGGGAGGAGGGTTCAGAAAGTTTATCTTTACTCCAGCTCGCTGACGTGAGGTCTGGGGAGCCGTCGGGCTGAGGCGGCCAGTGCCCTGTTCCTTGCTGGACCGCTAAGCCACGCGCCTGCAGGCTGATTTGGTGCATGCTGTCCTGTTAACCCCTGCGGCACCTGCCAAACTTCAGTGGATGTTGAGACTATGGCTGGGTCAGGCGGGCACACTGAGCTGAAGGGAGGGGGTGGGGAGTGGGGGAGGGCAGAGAACAGACCTAGGTGTCCTAGAAGGGGGCTCCCAAAGTTCCAGACAGCATCCACTGAACCCCAACCCAAGAGGCAGAAGGATTTGAGGGCATTTAACTCTAAGCTAGGGAAGGCAGAGAATCTCCCGCCTGCAGGTGCACTGTCCTGAGACTGAGGGTAGCTCAGGGAAGGTGAGGAGCAGGTGCTGCACTTGGTGTTGGTCCGAGAGGAGAGCTGTGGGGGGGGGGGGGAGGGCGGGTGCTCCCTGCAGAGCCCTGTGTCCTCTGGCTCCTGGAACGGAGTCAGCACCACATGGAGCTCCCGATGCCCCCACAGGAGCGAGAGGGTTTATTCGGGAGGAGGCGAGAGAGGGAGACGGACAGGCAAGGGCAATGGGGGAGCCAGGCGGGGGAGGAGGCTCCCTGCCAGGCTCTTGTTACTTAGGAGGAACTCCTCTCAAAATAGCTCCGGAGACCTCATCAGAGCTCTGGTTTCCCTTCCTGCCCCACGCGGGGTCTTGGCCACTTTCAGAGAACTGACAGGGGAGGGAGCTCCCATGTACCCACCCTGGTCATCTGTAGAAGGCGATGCCCCCCCAGGGGTGAGTGCTTTCCGGTGTAAGGGCAGCTGGCAGAGGCAGGCAGCTGGAGCTCTGCCTCATTCCCCACCACATGCGGACTCCTTTCTAGGCCAGCCCCTCAGGGAAACAGGGACCTCTCCTTCCCAGCTCCAGTCCGGCTCCCTGGACTGGAGCCGGCGACCAACTGAGTCAGTTGCCTGGTCGCTTGGTTTCTGAAAAGTCTGTTGGGCGAACTGCTGCGAAGAACCCTACGTGACTCCTCAAGGAAACAATCTCCTTCCCCTTAAATCTAGGCCCTGTTCCTCCAGAGTGGACAGTCCTCTGACAGCTCCTCGGCACAGGGCCCAGTGCATCTCTACATCCCTGAAAACTTGCTCTTCAAGGTATTTCTGAGCCAGGCCACCCAAGAGCCATCACCAGGAATCAGGGGGGGCCACACCTGGGGGCTGTGTCCCAAGACACCACCCCTGCCCTCACTCAAGGGACTTCCAGCAGAAGGGAGGGGCAGGAGCCAAGGTATGGTGTCTGCTTCTTCCTGTCCCCACCCAGGGACTGTGGGCTTTTAAGCTGAGTGAAGAGGAGCTAACTCAGGGACAGTTCCTCCAAGAGATCATTTTCAAAAGAGGAGAGAGCAGGAACTCCGACGTTTTGTCACCCTCACCCACATCCTCACATCCTTGGGAGGAGCCTCTGAGCTAGATCAATGGCCTAGGTTTTTGAGAATTTTTGAAGAAAGTGCTCTATAAATGTAAAAATCCTCCAGCCACTAATGCATTTCTCAAGCACTCTTTCTGCCCTGCTGCAGAGTGTTCTCTGGAGGAGAGCTGGGGCTGTGGCACGGGGAAATCAAATAACGGGGGAAGTTCTAACCCTGCTTTAACAGTAACTCTCTAGGTGACCTTGAGCCACACATTCTGCCTCTCTGAGCCTCTTTCTTCCTCTGTGGGGCATGAGGCTTTCCCAAGGACCCTTCCAACTCTAAGAACTGGTTAACAGCAAGGCAGCAAGGAAGGTGCAGAGAGGGCACCCAGGCCACCTTCTCTTGTCACCGGGATCTAAAGATAGCCACGGAGCTCAGTCTGCCTCTCCCCCTTCTCTGGGTAGGGGTCACTTTCTTTCCCTTTGGCTCACCTCAGCCTACTGCTCTGGGAAACATGACCCCTGCTGCAAAAATAAAGTGGGCAGCACGGATGCCTGGCCCCGTTAACTTAGTACAGGGACATCCTGGGGGAAGGACAGGGTAAGCCTTCAAACCTGGAGGGAGGGGAGAGGCTTAGCCTTTCCAGGCCACAGACCTCTTTAAGTTCAAATGTACTGTCTACCCGGTGCCTAGCGCTCTGCTGAGCACTTTTACATGCAATAATATCTCATTCCCTTGCACAGCCAGGCCCACTTCTGATGCTGCAAGGCTTGGGGCAAGGGTACGAATGGAAATTAAGTGTATGTCTAAATATAAGCTACAAATCAGGATAGCGAAGTGTTAAGATTGATCTTTTATCCTCTGCCATTGAGGACTTTTCCTTCATGATGACCTGGAAGATCAGGTCCAAAATGGAATTTCCAGACCATTCCCTGGCCCATTCTTTTATCTGGTCCTGCAGCAACGGGGGCTCTTGTGCATGCCTGGGGTGCATGTCGAACTCCATCCATTCCCCATCATCTGCAAACAGCTGCCCCTGGCTACTTCCTGGGTCTCTTTGTGGTCAGCTCTTGAGAGACCAACTCAGGGTCCTGGGTACCCAGAGTACAGCCTAGAAGGGGGGAGACGCATGCCTCCTCCTTGGTCTTATGCACTCGTTCTCCAGCGAGGATGGGCATGGCCAGTAGGAGGGCAGAGTGAGGCCCTCTAAAATTGGGAGCCGAGGGCTGGGGCCCCTGTTGCCCTGGTCTAAGGGCAATATTGCTCTAAACAGTCCTGTGAGGTAAACATTATTCTTCTCACCATCTTGCAGATGAGGAGCAGAGGCTTTTCCAGCAAATTGCATAACTTGCTCAAAGTCACAGTTATAAATGGCCAGAGCTGCTATACCACTATAACCACGGCACTGAGAGAAGGTAGCCATCCTCTCTCCAGAAAAAACAAATAGACACTCGGCATTTTGCATACAGCGGCAAGGGGTCTATGATTGCTCTGAAGCCCACCCAGGGACCGCAGGTGAAGAAGGTGGGCGGTGAGGGTGCGTTGGTGTGCCTGCAGTGGGGCCAGGCCAGGACAGGGGTTGAGTTTCCTGGTTGGAGCCAGCCTCCAGACAGCAAAGAGACCTTGTGGTGGAGGGAGGGGCTTGGATAGGTGGGAAGGGGTGCTGAGGAGGGTATCAAGGTCATTTACAGAACCACCACCCCAAGTAGCACTGCTCACATTAAACTCAGGACTGTTTGGGAAAAGCCTCCCTCACAGTCTCACCCCAGCACTCTGACCTGGTGTGACCCTGGGCTCCTCCACTCCTACCCCAAAGGGGAGGCCGAGGGAGTCTGCGGAATCGCGGGGTGGAGGGGCCACTGGGAAACACTTAGAGGAGGGCGAGACTTAGGTGGGAAAAATGAGAAGTAGGGGTGAAGTGGGGCGCAGGCCACAAACCAGACGCGGATTGGTAGAGTCAGAGGAGTCTATGAAGACATGGGGGAAGTTGGGGGGCAGTGGGCAGGGGCAGTTTGCAATTGGAGGCTCAGTTCCCTGAGGCCTAAAGCAACCCGCGGAGGGGATGAGCAGCGGGGCGAAGGCAGCTGGCGCGGGTCCCGAGGCCGCACGCGGTCAGGTCGCGCGGCCACCGGGGAGGCACGGCCGCAGTGGGCCAGCCCGCACACGCCTACCCGTTGCGGCAGCGTCCGCTGCGGACGTGCGAGCGGTCCCTTGGCGGTCCCTGGAGAGAGAGACGCTACCCTTCCCGTACTCCTCAAGCAGAACAAAACAGGCTTCCAAAGACCGCAAAGCTCCACCTCTACTCTCCCTGAACTGTCCCAATTGGCAGCTCAGCGCAGGGGATGATGCGGGCGGCTGCGGGCCGGCCCTGCAGTGCCATGCCGCAGCAGCCCAGCCCGGCGGGAGAGGGAGTGAGGGGTCCGGCCTGGTCCCGGGGCTCCGGGACCACGAGGCAGGGCGCGCCGAGGAGGGTGCGCAGCGGGTGGGGGCGCCCTCGGCTCCGCGGCGGCCACCGCCCCTCCTGCGGCTGGAGCGCTTCCAGAGCAGAGGCGCAGCCTCGCTTGCCTCTGCGCGCGCTCAGTCGTCCTCCCGCTCCTGCTCCGGCTCCTCCTCCTCCCCCCCC